AACAGCAGGCTTGTCAATCCAAGTGACCTAGAAAGATCTCGAACTGAATCTTCTTGTATAATATTTTTGTGTCAAAATCATTCTTTTGGCAGATCTCGTGTAAAAAAAAGTTATCTATGAATATGCAATTTATTCTCATGATTACATTGCTATAACGCAAATAGTTTTCAATTTGATTTATTACCGTCCTTCGCAATCTTCTGTCCTTGTATCCGGCGGAAGAAAGGCATACGAGATCGTTTTTTAACCTCCTGTCTTAGAATGGAGGGGGCAAATTCACCCTATCGCATGTATGGTGATAACTCAAGCGTGATAATTTTGCTTACACCTTTTTTTGAACCTATTGCAACAGATGTCTCATGCGCAAAGCAAATAATGGTCGCGATTTCTATATAATTGAAAAATGATTGCTACTCAAACTCACAAATGGGAAAAAAAGCTAAGACATATGGAACCTGTTTTTTCCTTAGTAAACAATATCATACTTAGGTGTGAAAAAGTGCTAAACTAAAAACCGCAATAATTTAATCAGGAGACAAACACAGAAAATGGACAACGCATATTATTGGAATGAAGTAGTATCCATCATCCCAGCAAGATTCTGAACAATATTATCACTCAACATCCTTGTGACCTGAAAACACCATAAAAAAAAACTATCGCAAATTCAGCTAAATCTAGAAAGTTTTGATGTTACCTCCTCTCCAAGATGCCTTTTGGGGTCTTGTTTTCCCACATTTTTTATAGCCAGCTCTTCGTCAGTCATTTTTTCTTCGTCTTCCAAAGCCTAGACATTCGAGATCAAAGAATTGAAAAGACCATGGTGTAGATACCTACCTTTTTGTACATCTTCGCGAGTTTAAACATTGCTTGCATGCTTTCCTTATTTTTTTCACTGCAGCTGGTATAATTTCTTACAGCTAAAGAATCCATCCAAGACTGTTTGTTTAGATTCAACAGCATCTTAAAAGGAAAAAAAAAAAGAATTTGTGTTGAGAAAAAAGAGGAAAATCAAAGTCACCTTCTGCTCCAAATCATGGGTTCGGTAAGCTATCGGAATTGAGTAGTAATGTCGATTAAGGCCGTGAATTAAGGCCTGACAAAGTTAGTGAAGCGTATTTTGAAAACAATATTGAAAGGATTCCAATTTTCTAACCTGGATGCTTGGCTTCTGTAAATGTCCGAGATTACTAGTTGTCTGACGAGGTTCCTGATTGAGTGCCATTGTTTGTGGATTTATAGTACGGAACGCATCTATGACGACCTGCAGGAAAACGTTGCAAAACGATTTTATAGTGAAGCTTGTAGTGTAGTTCCATTAACTAAGTTGCTTTTCGAGTGATGCGAACTATTTTTTTTTGGATTATATTAACGTGCTGTCTGTAAAAACCCAAATGAATAGGTTTGGAAGAACATTTTTTTTAAATTCACTTTCTTAGAACTCAAATTCATCAAAGCTCAAAAACAAACCTTTCCTTTGACGGATTGAATAGGA